CGAACCCATGGGCTCAGGCAATCCACTCACCTCAGTCTCCCAAAGGCGCAGGATTACAGGTTGAGCCACTGAGCCCGGCTTGTTAAAGGCTTCTTAAATAGTAAGTAACAAAAGTAGTAGCTTTTATATCAAATAACAAATATGACCATATTAAAATTACACAAGTTTAAATTATTCCAGGATACAAGGATGGTTCAACATGAGAAAAAAGAATATAATACACCACATTAACAGAATGAAAGGAGGAAAAAACTACATGATCAGCTCAACTGATAAAAGCATTTGACAAATCCAATATCCTTCAGGATGGTGTTCCCTTGAGTGGAAGGAGGCAGGGATGAGAAAGAGAAGGAGCAAATGAGCAGCTCGAAGTTATTATAATCATTCTAGTTTCTTCGCTGGGTGGAAGGATCAGGCCTGCTGACTACAAGTGAATGGACAGAGAGATAGAGTGGATAGATGGATATATAAAAAAGGGCCAGAACCAAGCAAGGGCCAATGATAAGTGTAAATTACTTGCAACGATCATGATTAGTCCAATTCTAAGTCCTTGAGGTCCAAAAAAAAAGCAGTTTTAAAAGTTTAGCAAAAGAATTAAATTACAGATTGAGAATTTTTTTTTTTTTTTAGTTGGAATCTCTCTATGTTGCCCAGGTTGGAGTGCAGTGGCACACTCATGGTCACCCCAGCTTTGACCTGCTGAGCTCTGGTCATCCTTCTGCCTCAGCCTTCCAAGTAGCCGGCACTATAGGTGTGCGCTGCCATGCCTGGCTAATTTTTGATGTATCGTAGAGACAAGGTCTCACTAAGTTGCCCGTCTGGTCTGAAACCCACAGGCTCAGGCAAACCACTCGCCTCAGCCTCCCAAAGTGCTGGGATTACAAACTGAGCCACTGAGCCAGGCCAAGAATTTTTAAAAATACACCTAACTACATTAATAAAATACAATAGGCCGGGCTCGGTGGCTCAGCTTGTAATCCCAGCGCTTTGGAAGGCCAAGGTGAGTGGATTG